GGGTTTAGGGTTTAGGGTTTAGGGGTTTAGGGTTTACTGTAGGGGTTTAGGGGTTTAGGGTTTAGGGTTTAGGGTTTAGGGTTTAGGGGTTTAGGGTTTACTGTAGGGGTTTAGGGGTTTAGGGTTTAGGGTTTCGGGTTTAGGGTTTAGGGGTTTGGGGTTTACTGTAGGGGTTTAGGGGTTTAGGGTTTAGGGGTGTAGGGTTTAGGGTTTAGGGTTTAGGGGTTTAGGGTTTACTGTAGTGGTTTAGGGGTTTAGGCTTTAGGGTTTAGAGGTTTAGGGTCCCTCAATCATTTACAAGCCCAGAACCTACCCTGAAACCAGACCCTAAAATATAGGGGCCTTAGGGTTTTTTCGGGCTCCGTGGGCTAAGGGTTTGTAAAGCTTTAAAGGTTTAGGGCTTAGTTTTTCTCTTTTAATATAGGGGCCTGAAATCATTAGAATAGGGTTCCTCTATAAAGGGTTCCTTAAAGGGATCTATAAGGGATCCAAAGTAGGGTTCTACGTAGAAGCCAAACTCATTAGAATAGGGTTCCTTTAAGGGGTTACTATAAGGGTTCCAAAAACTGTATTGGTTATTTTTGCCCCTGTATCAAACCCTAAACCCTTACCCGAAAATCTTAGGGTCTACGAGTCCGCGATCCGGGGTTTAGGGTGCCGGCAAATAAAGGAAACCCTCAACACTGAACCCCAAACCCTAAACCCTAAACCCTAAACCCCAAGTGGCTGGCTTCAATCCTTCTGGCTTGCAGGTTAAAGAGCTTTGCTGTAAGAAACCAAGCTCCAGGAAAGCCGAAGTAAACTCTCTCATAAACCCTAATGCGGGGGCCTGAATAATTCTAACAGAGTCTTGGGGTATGTTATGCTGTAACTATATAGTAAGGAACCCCCAAAATAGTACAGGTAGTTATTTAGGCGGCAGAGGCAAGCGCTCTCATCGCCGCGGTAGTAGACGATGTTCTCCAAATCCGCACCCACCTGCGTTGCATCGTTGGATCCGAGCTCGCAGGTTCCATTTTGTAGTGTCTGCGGTTTAGGATTTGGGGTTTAGGGCCCGTAGTTTAGGAATTAGGGTTTGGGACTTAGGGTTTAGGGCCTGCGGCTTAGGATTCGGGATTAGGACTTAGGCTTCAGTTGTTGGGGTTAAGGGCTTGGGGTCTGCGGTCTAGGAGACAAGATGTGGACATGCAGAACTCTATGGAGCCCCAATCTGCTCTGACCGAAGGTCGAAGGCTGTGAGTAGTAGTAGTAGTAGTAGTAGTAGTAGTAGTAGTAGTTGCTGTTGTTTTACATAAATGGAGGAGAAAGGGTTGGGGCTTAGGTTTTTTCCTAAGTTTACGGTTTGGGGCAAGAGAAGGAGGCAGGGAGACCACGTCCAAAGAAACTCTTTAACAGCCCCAAGGCCCGCGCCTGACAATCGCAAACTTCAAATTCGAGACCGCAAGCTCTTGGTTTGAGGGTCTGCCAAGGCTTCCCTTCGTCCGAAGGGAAACGTAACACAACAGCAAATGGCATGAGGCTGGCTACCGTGCATTGACATCTCGAGCGCCAGTTGCCAGAACCAGGAGCTTGTCTGCGGAAGAATCCCGACAGGCCTTCTCCTTGAGCGTCTTGAAGAGGCCGGTGTTGAACTGCCTGCTCACAAGGAAGTTCCCTGCTAACCCTTCCAGAACCAGGGTACCCTTTTGACATAGTATAGGGAGCCCCTAAAATAAACAGCATACACGAAAAATATAGGAGCCTTGACAATCCGAATAAAGTTTTGGTGTCCATGGTCCATGATAAAAACATGAAAGGGCGTATTACTACTGGTACCAACTGTTCCGACCCCTAAATTACTGGGCGGCCTGGGCTATGTTAGCCGGCTTGCGGCTTGGGGCCTAGGGCTTAGGATTGCCGGCGTTTCGTTTAGGCCTGCGCAACACCACTCTCGAGTCTAATCAGCGACGTCATGTGCCTTGGTGCTCGGAATCGCTTCAAGAACACTACCGGGCCTGAAACGCAAGAACGTTGCCTATAGAGGCTTCAAGCCTGAAAGGGACTTGGGTTTTGATAAGGGTTCTAGAACGGTAAGGACAAGGATTTATGACCAAACAGCTTTTCAGCACAAGAGAGCCCTAGGAAAGTTTAAGGCTTTTCCGTCTCCAGTTGCGTCCGGTTGCCTAAGGCAAGAACATCGCCGCAATATCCAAGATATACACTCACCACTATCCACAAGAAGCCGGTGTACATTCACCAAACCCCAGACTAAATCCTATGTCACATTTATCCGGGCTTGTTCTCTGGAGAAAACTTGACACCACAAGGAATGCAGAAGTGCTCCAGCATCTTGATTTAAGACGTTAGGACCCCGACCATTACGAGTGGAGCCTTCGACCATTCTTACCTCTCTAGGCAGACGCTCGTGAAAACGCTATCTCAAACATACCAGTACACGGCTACTGCTGTTCATGGAAATATCAGTCTTGTAGCTCCTATTGCTGTCAGCGTGTCTGTTCTTAGCATACGCGAAGCGTGCTACATCGGTATGCAACTTCATCATCCCGACAGTTCCAGGATTCGAAGCTCATTACTATTGCCCTGTATTCCTATCGTCACCATGTCATGGTTAGCAGCAGTAAGAGCAGAAGAAGTAGCAGTAGAAATAGCACCAGGATCAGCAGTAGTCGTAGTTGTCGCCATCGTCGTTGTGGTTTCCCAGAACTTCAGTCGTGTTAGTACTCAGGTTGAGCCGGCCTGGCCCAGGAGAACTGCCTAAGGTCTCGTTCGGCCTTGCTGCGACCTAGCCGAAGGCTCGCGCTTAAGAGTTCTACGCGGCTGAAGTTTCAACCATGTCGGCCGAGATTAGGATCTCTCCCGATATACATCTCTCTACACATGTCTTCATACAGAACAAGTTACATGCACACACACACACACATGCACACCTATAGAACACCATTACAAATACTGATACTCATCCCTCTCTCTCTCTGTCTTTGTATGTATACGTACCTGTATATATCTGTATGTTAACTTGATACAAACACACTGTGTTGTTGTGTAAATACGAATACATGTATATACTTGTGCAGACATGTGATATGTAAATAAGTAAGCACATGTACATAGAGGTATATATACTACATATGCTACATATGCATGCAGGTATGCATGCAAGCATGCATGCATTCACGCACTCATGAAGGGTGTGTGTGTATGTATATATATATATATATATATGCCAGTATGCATGTATACAGCATGTATCTACATACCTAGATGTATGTGTATATTTGTATCTGGTGTGATTATAGGAATAGGTATACATGCATGCATGGACGGATAGCTGGATGTATAAATATGTGTATGTATGCATATGTGTGTATGTGTGTGTGTATGTGTGCGTGCGTGTGCATGTGTGCGCGTACGTGTGTATGTATGCATGTATGTAGATATGTGCATACGTATGATGTATGTATGTACGTATGTATGCATGTATGTATGTGTGTCTGCGTGTGTATGTGTGCATGTAAGTATGTATGCATGTATGCATGTAGGCATGTATGCATGTATACGCTATGCATGTATGCATGTATGCATGTATGCATGTATGTATGTATGCATGTATGTACGCACCTATGTCTGCAAACATAACTGGGGGGTGTATGTACGTTGATGTATGTACGTATGTACTCTTCTGTCTGTATGTCTGTCTGTCTGTCTGTCTGTCTGTCTGTCTGTCTGTCTGTCTGTCTGTCTCTGTCTGTCTGTCTGTCCGTCTGGCTTGTATGCATGTATGCATGCATGAGTTTATGCATGTAGAAGCAGGCAAGCAAACTAAAAAATGCACAACTTTTGTAAAATAAGACACCACGGATGACCAGCTACATAATTTCCAACAACAAAAAGAAAACACTGCAGTGAATCAAAACACGCAGCAGCATGTGTCTATATAACTAAACATTTACACGACACGGGCCAGCGCACTTTGCAGTCTTAGGCGAACAAGCTACTGCAAAAACGTCTCACTAAACCTCACAGCCTTCGTCCCCGAATTTTTCTGAAACTTGTCGGGTCGTAAATCATGAGGAGGCTACAACCCTCCCTTGAAAAGCCTACTGATTAGTCCGCACCCTAAACCTCAAGCCCTAAACCCTATAGACCACCCAAAACCCTAAACCCCTAGAACACCTAAGATCCTCAACCCTGAACCTTGAACGGCAACCCCCAGGCCATAAACCACCC